TCAAAGGAATTATTAGAAAAGGCTGTTGAAAAGCATAGTTGCTTTAACAGTAACTTAATTTCAAATATCCCCAGCATGTATAAGCTGTTGTATGGTAACATTGCTCAAGTACAAGAGGCAAAGATCATTCCAGGATCTAAGGAGGCTTTTTCTTTAAAGCGGTACAAAGAAGAAATTGGAAAACCTTACAGCAAAATTAGTTTTTACATATGTCCATTAACAGATTTTCTTGAAGATTTTGTTAACTCTTCATCATCATCTGATGAGCAAATGTGTGACAACTCTGCAAGTGATGGTACTCAAGAGCAAAACCAGTCCAGCTCAGTTGAAGAACTGACAGTCATTTCACCCAATCCTACTATTCCTACCCAAAGTAAAACAGTTCAATGTCCCTTTTGCCTAAATCATTTTAGTGTACAAGAAGTCCAACATCATGTAGAGCAGTGTTCAGAATGGTTATTGAATGAAGATCATGAAGTACTGGAAGTGAATAATTCTGACAATGAACAGACTGTTGCTGAAAGTCAGGTGAAAATATCTGATATGGGTAAGAATGAAATTAAAGAAATGCTGAAAGATGAAGTTGCACAAGTCTCAAAATTAGACCTACAACAAGAAGGAAAAAAAAAGGGTGACAGTCAGACGTAAGAACATATGGGAAGACTTTAAAGATGAAATTTTTCAAGGAAATAGAATTACCCCTTCCAGTAAGATTAAGGTTGTGTTTTCTGGAGAGCCCGCTGTGGATGATGGGGGACCTCGGAGAGAACTATTTTCAGGTAATGTATTTGCTTGTAATTTTCTGGCAAAACTATAAATTTTCTATTCTGTTATTCCTAGGCTGAACCTATTATTCCTATAGGCATTATAATCGTTTTTGGTTTTCTAAAATATACTATACATTTATTTTAGAGTTCAAACAAATCATGGATGCTTTTCTTCCTGTCCTGAAACCTAAACATTATTAATTAATTAATACGTACAATACATTATACTAAGATACTATTCCTCAGAAAGCTTACATTGTTTGTCTCTACAAATATCATATATTATAGAAAAAGCATATATTATAGGAAAGCCATTGTACCTAGTTGGTTAGGTCGAGTTGCCAGGCCATATCTGAGTTCCAGCTTCAAAACATCTAGCTGACTAGCTCATCATACGAGAATGATTGATAAATATATCTAGGATTGATAGGTTCAGACTAGAATCACTACAGTAGATGTCCTTAATGTCCTTATTAGGTATACAGGTATGTCCTTGTTACAATTTGTTACAATTTTCGTTTCAGCATTTTATATGCTTTAAAATTATATTATATAACATGCTGACACGTTTTTGTTATGGTAGCCGCCTTGTTAATATTTCATTACTTTCACAAGATAAATGTAAAATGGAATAATATTTTTAGATCTTTTGTCCATCATCAAAAGGAGATATTTTCATGATGGGTCACCAGTTAAATCAACTATTGCTATTAGTAATGGAGATTTTAAACTGTGTGGAATAATCATGGGAATGTCCATCAAGCAAGGAGGTCCAGCACCAAATTTTATGACGCATGCTGTTTCCTGTTTTTTCACTGGATGTGAGATGTTGACTAGTGATGTCAGAAGCTCAGCCTATCAAGATATTGTTACATGTGTGAGTTAATAACTGTATGATATAGTGTTATAAAAATCAGTAGAACGCTTGCATTTATAATAATATGCAATGAATAATCAGTTGCCTAACTCATTGACTGGCATTACTCTTTTACTGATGAGTAAAGCATCTGCCATTAGACAGAGCAAAATACTTAATTAGGGCAAATATGGGTGCATTGCAAGCTGATGAGTTAACAAAAGACACTGACAGATAATTACAGTATGTTAACTTATTAACTAACAGTACTTTTCCACTGACAAGTAAGATTATCTGGAATATAAGACAGAGTAAAATTTTAAAGTAGGGCACATCTTTGTGCATTGCAAGGTAATGGGTTAATTAGGTTATATCAACCTATGTCCCAAATATGAAAAAGCACTACAAAAAAGTACATGTATGTATTATCTTCTTGATACAGCTCAGCAATGCAACAACTGATGAACAAGTAATAGGAATTCTAACTAAGGACTCTAGCTTGGACATTCTACAAGAGCTGGGATATACAAGTGTTCCACACATGGAAACAATTGCAACAGCAAAAAGAATTGTTCAGTATGTACATTAGTTTTCTTATTGATCTCCTAAAGGGTCAGTCAAGCAAGGGCGGATCATCGCCAACACATGTGCAGAATGGACTTACATTCCCTTTAATCTTTAATATTCTGACATTATCATTCTGACAGGCAGTCAAGTCAGTCACCGAGGTGTAATTTGTTTACATTTTGAGCAAAATATATTGATAAAGTATGATGTACTTGACACTTGTTGATATCAATATAGTTTAAAAAAATTTCCATTTAGAAGCTTTCAAAACAATGTGAACCTGGCCTTGACCACCTCTGAATATTTAGCTTAACTAAATTATTTTTGGAGATTGAAATTATTTTTGGAGTTGCAACTGAGAGTGTATGAAAATATGTTGTTAAAATCATTAAAAAAATATTTTAGATCATTATGCATGAAAGACCAAATTGGAGATGTCTTAGCAGAGTTGATGGAAATTAAGAATGGGTTAGAGGCTTGTGGCATCTCTAGTGATACTATTAAGAAAAGAGCAGAGTTATGGCAAATCATGTTCAAGTCAGGCAGTTTCTTTAGTCTTCCTGCTGAAGAGTTTTTGGATGAGCTGATTGTTGTTTTCAGTGAGTCACAAATAAGAAAAAATGCAGAAATTGATGTTTACAAATTTTTCTGTGATGCTATGCTATCCATTGAAAATGGTTGTAAGTACAAACTACATGAATAATTATCTTCAAGCAGAACTGGAATCATGAGCAGAGAATGATGTTCAGTTGAATTTTATATTAAGGGTTGTTTTCTTCTTCAATCATATCTTACGTAAGTGTGTTGTATTTCTTTGTTTTCTGGGCACTAAAGTGCAATGTTACTGTAAAACAATAGAAAATGCTACGATTGAAGTGGAAAACAGCCAAGGGGCAGTGTCACGGTTCTACTGCGCATCCAAAATATGCGCGAACTTGAAAAACTGTCTGCCAACAATTAATCAAGTTAGGAGTGAAATGCGATATACTATTTATAATCCCTTCGTTTTTGAGGACATCCTTGCTTTGTTTTAAAAATTGAAGGCTGCTGCATCTTTTCCAATCATGTAGCATTAATTTTAAACGTTTCTTTTCGCCGTTTATTTTAGCCAATCAGCGCCGTGATACTGCCCCTTTAAGTATCTCTTAAAGAATCTCACATCACCCAATGCAATATGTACCAAACATTGGGTATTTACAGTACTGTTGACCATTTCTTCACATAATGCAACTTAATTCTTTGACAAGGCTATGAGGTGGGGCCCACTCCTGCCCTCATTATATCCATTATATCTCAAGTTGTTTTCTTAACATGAGGACATAACATTGTAATCAACACTCAAAATCAGTTTAATGCATAATATTTGTTCAGTTTAATTTTACTTATTTATTTAACTTATTACAGACTTACAGTCATGCCAATGGAACTTGTTCCTAAAATATCGTATCAATTCATTTGTTCCCATGGCCATGAACCAATTCATTTCAGTTTTGAAATTTTGACAACTTTTATATTGCTATATAATTGAATAGCTTCCTGTTGCTGCAATCACCTTTGATTTTGGTGTAATTGACTAATCTTCAAATACATGAAGTTGAAAGCAATTTGTCAACTAGCTGTCTTAAACAAAGTGGTTCAGACAAGCAAATGAATTAACACAATATTTACATAGCCATAGGAACACTCCATTGCCATACCTAATTATTCAATAACAATGCAAAATAATTTGATTGTTATAATTATTTACATGTACATTTGAAGGATTGAGAACTGCAGACATTTTAAAATGGATGACAGGGTCAGACGAGGTTCCACCACTTGGTTTCCCAAAGCAGTTTGAACTGCAATTCACCCATGGTTGCAATGAATTATGCAAATGCAGGCCAACAGTCTCAACATGTGACATGTCGGTGAAGATGCCTGTTCATATCAGCACCCTTGAATATATGAAGGAAATTCTTTATTCAGCTGTAAAGGATTCACATGGGTTTGGAAACCTTTAAAACTTGCTACTGATAAATTGTTTTTGTTCCATCGTTAAGAAAGTCTGTACAATAGCCGTTTTCACACTAGAAATAGAAGACGAACAATCACCAGAACGGGGCTGTTTAAATGATCCCGGTTTGCAAGGACTGCGTGGATGGCGGGATTAGTCTGTAAGGTCTCTCTCCTCCACAGAGGTTATTTATTCTATTTATAATGTTCCTCGCTTCTCTTCTGATAGTTCTCGGATAGTTCGCGATAGGGCGCTGGACAAAACTAACGTGGGCGAAGACGAAAAAGAAACTAAGCGAAAAAAATAACGTTATTTAACGTTATTTTACTTTTGAAATAATAAGTAATTTTTCGCTCGCTTTCTTTTTCGTCTTCGCCCGCGTTAGTTTTGTCATGATTACTGTAACTGAGAACTATCCGAAGAGAACCGAAGAACATTATAAATAGAATAAATAACATCTGCAGAGGAGAGAGCTGCAAGGTATTGATATATTAAAGTCGTCAGCCTCAAGCTAAAATTCAAATATCTGTTAAAAAACTGCGATCTCAAGAAGATTTTGACTGAACTCATTGTGAGAGATTAATTTTTGTTTAAATTAAAACTATAATCTATATATTCTACCAGGCAGCTAAATAAGGCAGCTTTGCAGAATTATGGATGTAACCATTAAACCATAGATACCTGTAGCCCAGAAGCATGCGATATGTTGCATATTACGTAACTTATTTCAATACATCAAAAGTATTCCGCCTCTGATATCGTCCGTACAAATTGTGATCACGTAAACGGCATCCTCAAAATGGCAGGCAACTATGGCATATGCAAAACCTCTACTAGCAAGGCAAAGTCTATGAAAGGCTAAATATGTGTTAAATTGCTTTCTAGAAATTTCATTAGACGGACAAATTCAGACGATTTGTTTTACTGGACAATTAAACCCTCTTCTAGTGTGAAAACGGCTAGTGACTAATTAATGTGTTGTGTTTTGGCTTAACTAACTTTCATATTTATAGCAAGTTTATACGACATGCTGTCAGTTATAAAAATGCAGCAATCGAATGATGTTCGATGTTTTGTTAGTGTACAGACTGGTTCACATTACTGAGAGCTCTAGTTACATGAGCTTTAAATATTTAAGATCAAAGCTAGTGCATGTATTTTGTTAATTATTCTTGCAAAGCAATAAACTGCTGAAATAAATCAAGTGCTTCGTTTTCATTCCTTGGGAATTGCAATTGCAATTCATACATAACTGATTCAAAATATTCAATGTAAATTGAATTTTGCTCATTTTCGATCTCACAATGGGTCCTCATTTCTTCTATTTCTTGATCATCAACAGGACATACGCAGTCCTGTTTTCCATTATATTCAGGTAAGTAATACAAAATATTGGGAATTCCTGAAACTGTATCATAACGTGATTTCCGAATGTAATGAGAGTTCCAATGATCTTTCACTCTATCAAGATCTTGTTGAATGAGCCATGAGAAGCAGAACCACAGGCATTCCATATGTAAAGTATTACCAAGCTGCAAAGTGGTTTGCTCAACCAGGTCTTTGAAGAAATCAATCCAATAGCCACTTCGATTACGTCTTAAAAATGACCACCAGGCCTCGATACGCTGGTTAGAATGCGATGATCCATAAATATGGGACTTTTCCCCAGCAAACATATCGTCTCCATTTGCTCGAAAAGAAGACTGCATAGCTGCTATCATCCCATTTTCTGTACCACAATCCGTTCGAACCAGCATAGGGCAGCCATTTAAACTTATGACTGCATCCAAAAAGAGATTTGCAGTGATTCGAGGATTGTTATTAGACTTCACAACCTCTAACCAAATTATTCTACGGCTATAACCACAAATACACCCGTGTATAGGAAAGCCGTATGGCTTTAATTTGTCGTATCCTATATCAATTAATTATAATAGACACACAATTAATTTTACTATATTAGCTACATGTCTGACGTTTAGTGGTCATCAGCTATTAGTTCTATGCACAGAAAAACACCCGTTCCGCACGTTGTACCCAATAATCTATTAGCGTTAATTGTAATACCATTGCATGCAATAAAGTATATTGGGTTGTAACTGAAGACAAAAACTAAAAAAAAGAGTTATCAACTTTAGGGTTAGAGGTTACGGTAAGGATACTAAGGATTAGGGTTTGGATTAACGTTTGGATTAATTGTAAACCATTACAACCTAATGCCATACAATGGCATTATAGAAAGCCAATAGATTACCGGCATTTGCAATTGACCGTGCGGCATGCATAAATTAAACATTTGTTCATTGTTTCAAACTTGTCGTTTATTGGATGAAAGTTGACGTCACTATGGGCAAACTTAATTGTTGCTAAGTTAAAACTTTTTTACCCAATCAAAATTCGGGGTTGTTTACAATGTTGACGAGTGTATCTAAAAGTCGAGAGTCGAGAGTAAAGGTCGAGAGTCGAGAGTAAAAGTCGAGAGTCGAGAGTAAATGTCGAGAGTCGAGAGTAAAAGTCGAGAGTCGAGAGTAAAAAGTCGAGAGTCGAGAGTAAAAAGTCGAGAGTCAGCAAAAAGTCGAGAGTCGACAGCAAAAGTCGAGAGTCAACAAAAATGTCATCAGAAACAACAAAGTCAAAATATTTTTAACACAATATATAGCCGTACGTTCCGTAACAACGGCTGAACTACAAACTTTCGCATATAAATATTGCTACAATAACAGTCAATAATATAAAAACATGAACAAAAAAACTGTATCAGTATCATATGTGAAGCTTTCATCTTGCTAAAAGTCATTTCATTACATTTTGCTGCCTTTCAATGACAATGTAGCACATAAACGGAATTTTGACAGACAGTCGCAGATAAAATATTGTCTATTCTCATGACAAAGTTCAACGTTTTTTACCGAGAAACTTCAATGTTTGTGATATTAATCATTTGATGGTTTCAATGCCGGATGAGTCCAGCTATAGACTAATTTTGATCTAGGCAAGACATGAGGACAAAATCCATCACCACAGCTAGAAAGAGCATGCTAAAATTAGTAAAATTGCAAAGTTTGCCCGCGAAAAATGTTGTAAAATGCGGAAAATATCACCTTCGGAATTTGCAAATTTTGTATTAATTTCTATCACGCGCGGGAAAATGCACCACTTTCGGCCCAAATATGGATTTTGTTCTTCTTGCCTAGATCAAAATTAGTCTATATAGCTGGAATCATCCGGCATTGAAACCATCAAATGATTTTAATCATGGTATTAAAATATCACAAACATTGAAGTTTCTCGGTAAAAACGTTGATAGACAATGTCATGAGAATAGACAATGTCATGAGAATAGACAATGTTTTATCTGCGACTGTCTGTCAAAATTCTGTTTATGTGCTACATTGTCATTGAAAGGCAGCAAAATTTAATGAAATGACTTTTAGCAAGAAAGCTTCACATATGATACTGATTAGTTTCGTATCATGCAGTTTTTTGTTCATGTTTTTATATTATTGACTGTTATTGTAACAATATTTATATGCGAAAGTTTGTAGTTCAGCCGTTGTTACGGAACGTACGGCTATATATTGTGTTAAAAATATTTTGACTTTGTTGTTTCTGATGACATTTTTGTTGACTCTCGACTTTTTGCTGTCGACTCTCGACTTTTTACTCTCGACTCTCGACTTTTTACTCTCGACTCTCGACTTTTACTC